ATCAAAACACAAGCCACCAAATAAATTTGAAAAATATTTGTTGATTTGGACTTCTTTTTTCATCATAACATTCAGCTGCCCCGGGGATGGGGACTGGCCTCTGGCATGATTGACAAAGGCTGTTGCATGCAGTTTTTTTCTTGTCAGCCAATCAGAAGAAGAACACAGATCATGTGATTTTGGCAAAGCTGGTCTATTGCTGTGGATGTCATGCCATTGGAGAGAGAACATGTCCTTAGCTAATGTCTCTGGTTTCTTTTCCTACAGCACCTATTTTGGGAGCACTACTCTAGCTAGCTTTTTGAGAATTCTTTTTCCTTCGACATCTATCTTCCTTATTCAACTTTTGTTTTCCAAATGCTGCTAGGGAGGTGTGGGTTGGTGTGTGTTTTGGGGAGTAGGGTGGGTTTTAAAGGACATTTTAAATGTGTTTATTTTATTTTAACCTGCTAAAAACACTACTAGGTTTTTATTTGTAACTTTTGATTTTTAAACTTGACTAATTGAGGGGTAGATATTGTTACTTAACCGCTGTGAGTCCCCATAGAGAGAAAGGTGAGGTATTATTTATTTGTAGAAACTTTAAAAAAATACTAAAAATAAGCAGACAACCAAAATGTTCTGAAACTTGGCAGGCTTACAGTTGCAAATGTGTTTTATAAGTGTGGCAAATTCCATCCAAGTAGCCATAAAAATGGCAGTAAGGCGAGCCTCGTAAGTTTCCCCATTGATGTTAATGGACCGAATCTTACCGAAACAATAACAAAACTCTGGATTTCAAATTACAAATCAAAACAACCCCCCCTCTGAATCTTCCTGAAACAAAATGGGGAGGTGGATCCGAAATTTGAAACAAAACCAAAACGGATTTCTGCCCAATATTATTAATTTAATATTTTTAATAATTTTTTTTTTACAAAACCAACATTTTTATTATTGTGATAATTCATACCAATCCACCTTGTCTATTGTGATTCTTGTCATTTCTCTGTTGTTCAGAATGTCCCCCATAGATTGCTGTAGTCATTGGTAGCATGTCAACTCTGCAGATCTCTGGAAAGGAACCGCAAGATGACATTTTAATTTTGTGGATGGACTCTGACAGTTCCATTATCTTTGGAATCCTTCCTGTGAATCTTTGCCTTAAATAAAATTTTGACAGAAGACTCAATAAGAATTTTTCCTGAAAGAAGCCTGAAAAAAGACACAAAAAAGTGAAGAAAGGAGCCTGAATAAGACACATAAGAAGTAAGGTATAATTGAAGATGGGAAAAATCATGGGTAACCTGTCTGATTCAGAGAAAGCTTGTGTGGTGTAGTTGTGTGAGCAGTGGAATAAGACTCTGGCCTTGGGCAAGTCATATCCTTTTAGCCTCAGAGGAAGGCAAAGATTGTGCCAAGAAAACCCCAAAACAGGTTTGCCTTAGGGTTGCTGTAAGAAATGACTTGAAGGCAAACAGCAATGAGATATCAGATCAAAATCAATAAACCCCACAGTGACTAAATAATATTCTATAACTGAAAGAGATAACAAATGTAGAGTGTAATGAAATGTTCTCCAACCAATTTAGGAAACACAGGATGATGTCAGAAGAACACAAGATACTGTTACTGTATAAAACGGTCTCTCCATCAGAGATAGTTTACATTACTTGTTAGCACTGATGTGGTACTTCTGCTATTAAATTCCACGGAAATAGATTCTTCAACATAATTTTAAAGTTATCCTGTCTTACAAATAGAATGTCCGTATGACTCATTGACTGCAGATGCAAAGTGTTCATAATTTTAAAGTGGTGCACAAAAAGTGTTTTTCTCAATTTGGGTGGGGGGCACTTCTCTAGTGTTGACTGCTCTAGCCCAGTCTGATGAATACTGGAATTGCTTAAAATTTCTGGTAGTATAACACTGTCACGAAAGGCAGCATGGATTAAGGCAATGTTTCTCAGCCTTCCTAATGCTGTGCCCCTTAATACTGTTCCTCATGTTGTGGTGACCCCCCAAGCATAAAAATTTTTTCGTTGCTACTTCCAAACTGTAATTTTTCTGCTGTAATAAATCATAATGTAAACATCTGATATGCAGGGAATATTTCATTCACTGGACCAAATTTGGCACAAATACCTGATACACCCAAATTTGAATACTTGTGGGGTTGTGGGCGATTGATTTTGCCATTTTGCCAGTTGTAGTTGCTGAATTTATAGTTAACCTACAATCAAAGAGCATTCTGAACTCCACCGATGGAATCATACCAAACTTAGCACACAGAACTCCCATGACCAACAGAAAATACTGGAAGGGTTTGTTGGCCTTCACCTTGAGTTTTGGAGTTGTAGTTTACCTACATCCAGAGAGCACTCAAACAATGTGGGCTCAAGCAATGATGGATCTGGACCAAACTTGGTACAAATACTCAGTATTTCCAAATATGAACACTGGTGGAGTTTGGGGAAACTAGACCTTGACATTTGGGAGTTGTAGTTGCAGGGATTTATAGTTCACCTACAACCAATAAGCATTCTGAACCCCACCAATGATAGAATTGGGCCAAACTTCCCACACAGAACCCCCATGACCAACAGAAAATACTGTGTTTTCTTATGGTCTTTGGCAACCCCTCAGACACATCCCCATGACCCCCCCCCCCAGTCCCAACCCCCAGGTTGAGAAACACTGGCCTAAGAAAACACTGATGTTTTCTGCTGGTCTTTGGCGACCCTGCAGACACCCCCCTCGTGACACCCCCCAGGGGTCCCAACGTTGGTTCAGGGGTTTGACCTTAGAATTTCTCTGGACTGTGGGTTTTGAAATACCAATCAGCCCTGAACATCCTTCGATTTGACCTTGTGCAAGGTATCGGAAAAAGCCAATGATGATCCCCCCCCCCCCTCCGAACAAAGCTTAACAAACTACGTCATAGGTTTGTCTTAAGGTCTCCATGAGTCAGATACAACTTGAAGGCACACAGCAGCATTCTATAGTTATAGCGAATCTGTTCCAGTATTAACTTTGAAAGTGGCTTACATAGGTTGCTACTGGTTTTAATATTGCATGTAGAAGATATCTAGCTCATCAGCCCTGACATATACATTATGTCTCTGGAGCCTCAGGCCGTGCATTACTAAGACACTAGTCTGGTGGCTGTATTCCCACTACACATGACACTTTATTAATTCTTATTCATGCCATGCTTCTGGGAATCAGGATGTCCCAAAAGCACCAAGAAATATCAGATTTCTCCTGGCTTCAGCAGACCACTGACCTCATGTCAGGAAATCCCAACTCCCTGTTGCACAAAACACCAGCTGTTAAGCATACTTTATAAAAGCTGTCCAACTGCATCCAGGCAAATAAACAAATGTCTCTACTTTAGGGCAAAGTATGTGCTCAGTTTATTTAAGAGATCATAAATTTGATGCTAGGAACTAATGAAAAATACATTTTCCTACTGGTAAAACAGAAACATTTATGAGTATCCAAGTCTAACTATAAGTTCAGTTGTTTAGTTATGGAATGGAGAAACTTTGTATTATTAGCTCAAATGTTTAAAAGACCCAAATAGACTACATAATTTGAATTCTGTCATCCCTGTGGCTTTTGGCAATTTGCTCTACTTCATTCTGTTGCTTAATTCCCATGGTATGAGGCTGCACCAGATCTTACTGGGATGGGCAAAATACTACCCCTCCTTCTCCCTCCCTCCCACCATTAATTAATCGACCACAAACTACATTTGCACATTGAATTCAGTTTGCAACCATGGAAATAAACTGAAGACAAAGTGGGAGGGGGAGAGAAAAAGTGGGACAGGTTAAAAGCAGTGGCCGAATGGAATAACAGAGGACTAGTTGGGATTGTCCCTACCAAATTGGAATAGTTGTAGAGTATGTTTTCTGCACATTTCAAATAACACATCCATGGCAATAATATCTTCAGGAAATATTTGGAATTATCTTCCAAATTATCTTCCATATTTGGAAATATCTTCAGTCACGCTACACAAAACGCTTCACAGAAAAAATGTTAACGTATTTGTTGTGTGATTTTTTTCTGTGTAAGGAGCAACTTGAGAAACTGCAAGTTGCTTCTGGTGTGAGAGAATGAGCTGTCTGCAAGGATATTGCCCAGAGGATACCCGAAAATTTTGATACTTTACCATATTTGTGGGAGGCTTCTCCCATGTCCCTGTATATGGAGCTGGACCTGACAGAGGGAGCTCATCCGCACTCAAACTTCTGACCTGTCAGTCTTCAGTCCTGCCAGGGGCCCCTATGTGATATATTTTCAGGTAGGCTTCAACTTAGCAACCTGAGCTTCAGGAACCAATGGATTGAAATATTTCACTTTATGAATGTTTACCTAATAGCATGAACGTCATTGACACCTCACATGGTAAGATCTTCAGAGTAAAAAATGTGAAATGGCAAATGTGTGTATCTCTTCTTTTGTTATTCATAACTTGAAAACAATGATATTTACAAAGCTGCAAAATATTCGTTGTTAGACAAGCAGCTATTGTTTTTGATAAACAAATGGGTCTTTGTAGTTTAACAACCACGTGCATTAGAAGCAGTAGACCTTGGGCTCATGCACTTTCTCATTCCCAGTCCTTCTCTGGTGTCACTGCAAGGAGTCTGGAAGTCTTTGCTTCTGATTTACAACCAAGGGGAATGCTTTGTTATATCTCAAATGGGGCAAATTCTGATGGCAGGCTCAAACATGGCAAGAACGGATTTTGATTAAAAATAATGTAAGAATTATAGCTTGTTAACAAAACATATTTGAACAAGAATTGGGTGAATTCCCAGAGCCAAGGATGGAGTGGTAAAAAGGGAAGGCCATAGAGTGGTGATCTTGATTTCAGACAGGGCAGTGCTGCTAATTCTGTGGATGTGAGTATAACATTAAAAGTCACTAACCAGAAGTGCATGTAGCTCAAGTTTTGCATTCTGTGTATTGCTTTATTATCTGAGATAATGTTTCTCTTGTTTTTCCAGCAATAAACAAAAACATGAATGAATGCAGAGAACTGGAAATATACTGATTTATCCCTGCTTACCTCACTTTGCAGGGAGCCCCCGGTGGCACAGTGGGTTAAACCGCTGAGCTGCTGAACTTGCTGACTGAAAGGTGAGTGGTTCCAATCCAGGGAGCGGAGTGAGCTCCTGCTGTTCGCCCCAGCTTCTGCCAACCTACTAGTTTGAAAACATGCAATGGGTACTGCTCCAACGGGGAGGTAATGGTGCTCCATGCAGTCATTCCAGCCACATGACCGTGGAGGTGTCTACGAACAATCCCAGCTCTTCGGTTAAGAAATGGAGATGAGCATCAACCCCCAGAGTTGGACACAACCAGACTTAATGTCAGGGGAAAACCTTTCCCTTTTATCTCACTTTGCAGTTGGTCTGGGAGGTATTGAAGATGGTTTAGGAACATGGCACGGGGAAAGGTTTGTTCTTTTCACTGCCACCAAGTCAGATTCCTTGCACCTCACTGCATTGGAAGACAGTGCATCTCTTTGCAATTGGATGTGTTTCTCCAGTTGGAGACATGGCAGGGTCAACCCCCTTTTCACAAGGCAGTGGTTCCACTCTGCTGCAACTGCATCCATCCTGCCTGTGGCATTTATTGAAAAAGCCAACAACAAACAGCTATGCAAGGACAGACTATTGGACCAATGTCATGCTTCATTTAGCTCCCATCTATCTTTTGCTACTCTCACCAGAGCCTTATACATTTTCCTTCCTTATTCATTCAGTTTATTCTTGATAAGTATTCAATAACTGTAGCAAATATCTTTCCTTGCAGTAGTGGGAATCATTCATTAAACTGATCTCTTTGTTATAATGGCCTCTGGTCTTCAATAAGCAATTCCCCAGCAAATTGCCAAAAATATTCTCAGAAGAACAAAATAACATTGCAATGAATTATTACTGCTTTTGATGAAACAGGTGTACCAGAACCATTTCAGAGTCATTTTTTCATCCTACTCTATCTTCATCTTTGCAAAACAAACAAACAAAAAGTCAGGGAGTGTGTCTGCAGTGGAAGAGGGAGGAAGAAATGTGCCTAAAGCCTCTTCTGGATCCACTACACTTCCCATCTAGCCTCAGGGGCAGGGAAGGACATATTGGTCCTGTCAGATTAATTGACCAGCAATTTCAGTTGTTAGTCCAGTTCATTTCTGAGCATACAATAAAGGCAAGGGCCATTTTCTCTTTGCCTCAGGCAAAAACAACATTTAGGTTTGTACTGATTTTACTACCTTCAGTATATTTGTTCTTTGATTTCCTGAATCCTCCAATTCAACCCTAAATTTGGAAAGTCATGGACCCTGTTTTGTACCTATCATCTAATTCTTAGTTAATGTAACAGCAACAAAACCAGCCTCAATATTAAATCTATTTCAGTTTTACTTAATACCATTTAGGAAAGTTTTTACCAAATTTCCCATCTGAACATAAGTTACTTATGCTTATGACAGAGCTTACTCCTGCCCCAAAAGTAAACTCAATAATTTATGATAAAATTCTAAACAGTCTCTGTAAGTAACAGTGCTTCAGTCATTTTATATGTTAAATTGCTCTTGGTTTTGGTTACCCTTTTCTTAAAGGATCTCTCAGGGAATTGTCATGCCAAGTGGTCCAGATTGGCTGAATTTAGCACTTCAATAGTCAGATCTATTGTTGTTGCAGAACACAGAAAATAATAAGCCACATGCAAAAAGGAAGGTTCTTTGAAGTGCATAGTTAAGTACTTCAGAATAGGTGTTGTTATGGCAATACATATCTGAACAAGTGTACATGTTTTGCAGGCTGACTCCAGTACCCTGATAACCCTTTCTGGTCTGGCAAAGTATCCATGAAGCATAACTGTTTCACACTTCAGACTACTGCACAAGGTGATTTGTGTACATCCTATATATGTGCCATAATGGTTTGAATATCTGTGCTTGGTCACAGAAACCAACTAGGTGACCTTGGATATATCACACTCTCTCATCCTCCACAGCACTGGAGAAATTATACGGTTTAGCCAATATTGCACCACCTGACATCCACGAGGAAGTAGCAGCCAATAATGAAAAGACCAAGGCAGTGACATCTCAAGCCCATCCCTTGTTCGGAAGTCATCCAGCACACCAATAAATCAAGAAATAGCTTTCTAAGATCTATATAGATATTCAGCAAGTGAGAGTTCAAAGTGGCAGGCTAAAACCTGGAACCTCAATCCATGGTTGATACTGAATGAGATACTCCCTCCTGGAAACACAGAAGACTGAGAAACTTGGAAGGTGCTGAACAGAATGTGCTCTGGCACCACGAGATGCAAAGCCAAGCTTAAGAAATGGGGCCACAAAGTGAGTCCACGACACGCCAGTGTGGAGAAGAGCAAACCACAGATCACCTATTACAATGCAGTCTGAGCCCTGCCACATGCACAATGGAGGGCCTTCTTATAGCAACACCAGAGGCACTCCGAGTGGCCAGCTACTGGTCAAAAGACATTTCGTATAATGACAAGTTCTTAATTTTGTTTGTGTTTTTAAATACATTGCAACTGAATCATAACTACTGACATGATAAATAAATAAATCCTCCAAGGAAATCAAAAGCATCCCCCTAAACAAATTTTACCACGAAAACGCTGTAACCTTAGGACTGCAATAAATTGAACATTACTTGAAGGGACATGGCACCAAAAAATTTGCTTCAAAGTTTGGCCATCCAATGAAAATGTTCTGAATTTTGAGCAATTAAGTTGTAATGGAAAGCAGAGCAATTCTTAACAACACATGAAGTGTTGGGAGATGCCTAGCAAGCCTGATAGTATCCCTCTGCAGCCTGTAGTTTACCATACTTAACCTTTTTCAGCCAATAAAATATTTTTTTCCAAAAATGCCTGCAAATCCTGTACATTAAAATTAATAGGAGCTGTGCCTTTTTATAGATCAAAGGAAATGCGGCCTCAATTCATCTCATGCTGAGCTTCCAAACCATTTAGTAGTAATGGTTCATAATGATACTAAGCTCCAAGGTAAGAAGACAGTAATTTAAACAAGGCTGTTGACTAGTTTGATTCTGGATAAAGAGCTTTGCTCTGAGCCTGGTATACTGTTCAGAGGTTTGTTTGAAAGGTTATAGAGCAGATCAGATTTTGGGGGGGAGGGGCAATAAGCTTAGGCGTGTGGTTTTCTTTTAGCCTGCAAATAAATATTTTCTGATCCTTACTTCCTTTCTTTCCTGTCTACCAGAATCCCAGTGGAGAAGAGCAAACCACAAACCACCTATTACAATGCAGTCTGCCACATGCACAGTGGAGGACCATTTTACACCAGAGGCACTCCCAAGTGGCCAGCTTCTGGTCAAAGGACATTTAATATAATGCCAAGTTTTTAAAAAACTTTGTGTTTTTAAAATACATTACAACTGTATCCTTGGTACACTTTCAATACAATAAATAAGTAAAATTGAAACATATACAGCGGACAGTTTTCAAGGCAGCACTCTTACTCTGAGATTACTTCCTCTGAGGACCAGAAAAACCAGGGCCACAGGTCTGAAAAAGATATTTGAATGTTAATGTTATTGATTACTGTAATGATTATTAAACTCTAAACATCTCCCTTCAAGTTAATATACATGGATTAGATATGTGAGCTCACTCACAAAATATTGTAAGCTTCTTCTAGCAGTGCTCTGTATTTTATGCAATATGGGCTCAGTGCTTTCACCTCTGGAGCAGCAGTGTTTGATGCTGACCGGAGAGTCCTTGAGTCTCTTCTGGCTCTAGTAGAGCTATTTGAATTTTTCACATTCAACCACTCATGCATAGTGTTGATAGGCGAGGACAAGTCAATGCAAACATGCTGTGCTGCACGTAACAATCCAATGCAGTAGCTGCTGTTTGCTTGGCTACAAAAGGAAGAATTAGCCAAAAGAGGAGTCTGGCTTTGTGTTTTATCAAACAGGATGAGTCTGGGTAATGAATATCTACATGGTTCGTCTAGAGGGCGAAAAGAGGAGACCAAGGCCCCTTCCACACAGCTGAATAAACTCCCACATTATCTGCTTTGAGTTGGAATATATAGCAGTGTGGACTCAGATAATCCAGTTCAAAGCAGATATTGCAGGATTTTCTGCCATGATATTCTGGGTTATATGGCTGTGAAGAAGGGTCCTAAAACAGCTTTCCTGTACTGAAAGGATAAGGCAGTAAAGGGTTTCAAGCAGCAAGGAGAAAACCTTACCTGCTAAGCAGTGCTTTCTTCACAGCATGGATAAAGCAGTTTTTGAAAACACACTGAAATTTAAAAAAAACTCCACAAATAATAGTACTATAGTAGTAAAATGTCAAACAGAATAAAGCTCTTTGGTGACATAGCACACAATGAGGACCTGGTTCAGTGAAGGCAGGGAAATGTTAGTAAGCATTGGCCAAGAGCGCTAGTGATGCTTTGTTGAGTATTAAATAATATTTCAAAATTGCTAGTGTTGAAAGTAGTTGAATTCACCTTAAGTTTCTATTCATTTCAAAACATTGTCTTCATTCATTCATTCTTACTACATTACTGTCCCTTTTAGAAAACCCGAACACAACTTTGGGAAACAAAGGGAAAGACCAAACTCAGGCCTGTTGTGTTTCTCTGCCACACCCCCTCTTACCCCCTGCCAAGCTGTTTAGTACCTCAATACAGCTGAGTTTCCTTGAACCTTTTTGGACTACAATGTAGCAGCAAGATGTTTGATGCAAAATAAAGACAATAATGTCACCAGGGCTGGGATTGCTTAAGAAATGTCAGAAACTTTCAGCCAAATCTGATGGTTGCATTTATATATAGCCTGCTTTTTCTCTAAATTTTGGATTTAGAGTGGCCCACACCATGCCCCTTCCCTTTAATTCTCCTGATTTTGCAGGAACAGTCCTGATTAACCAATCCTCTGTCAGCCCACATACTCAGCTGCTTTAAAAAGGTTCCGTATTCTCTCTCCTTCCTCTACTTTTCCCCTTTCTTACTTCAATTGTTGTAAATTGAGCCACCTTCCATACAGCTGAATAAAATCCCACATATTCTGCTTTCAACTGGAATATATGGCAGTGGATTCAGATAACCAAGTTCAAAGCAGATATTGTGGGATTTTCTGCCTTGATATTCTGAGTTATATGGCTGTGTGGAAGGGCCCTGAGTTCAAAGTGCAGAAGTCGTTCACTCTAGGTGTTGGTGGAATTGTGAGCTTCCCATTCAAATAATAATAATAATAATAATAATAATAATAATAATAATAATCTTTATTTGTACCCTGCCACCATCTCCCCGATGGGGACTTGAATCCCAGGATTTCATAGGATGTTGCCATAGCAGTTGAAGTGGGCTCATACAACTATAACTCTGTAGTTTGAAAAGGCCCCTAAAATGTATTACACACAGGCTCTGTGAGGCGCTGCTGCCATCTTGTTCCAAAAATTTCAAACTTCCCTCCTCAGTGTCACTGAGACATCTCAATGGTTGGCTACAAGGTAGGCATTTGATTGGCAGCCAGGTCAGCCAGTGATGAGGATGAATGGGATAAGTGCAGCATATGAAGTTTCCACCCCTCTGTCTCGACCACACCCTATGCTTCTTTGGCCACATGTGGATTGATTGACAGGCCAGCCAGTGAGGAAGACACATGGTGTAAGTTTCCAACAGACCTCACAACCCCTGAGGATGCCTGCCATAGATGCAGATGAAACGTCAGGAGCGAATGCTTCTAGAACATGGCCATACAGCCCGAAAAACCTACAACAATCTGTAGGAAGTGTTTGTGGATTTCTCTAGAGCCCCCAATCAATTCTATGCTATGTTTCTGGCCTAAATATAGTCAAAATATAGGTTTTGCTATTATGCACAGTTTCAGGTATCCACAGGTAGGTGTCTGTATGTGTCTTGGAATGTATCTTCCCATTAATACAGTGGTCTTATGTAGTACTTTCTTGGGGACAATGCAAGTTCTATAAGCCGGACAACACTAAGTATTGAAAATACTGAAGAAGTTGGGTTTTACGCTAGTTGGGTAAAATTACGTTCCTCAAGGTGCGGTTTCATATCTAGGACAAATGTTACAAAGAAATAGGAAAGGCAGAAGCACTGGTGACATGCTTCCTTAGCTTCTCTGGTAATAAGTGAGGTGGGGCTCACTTATTATGAAAGATCTATCCAACAATGGGATTTGGAAATGCAAACCAATTATAGAATTCACCAGTGCAGAGTATGAATTTTACTTCAGCTTTTCTAGTAGCTGAATAGAAAGAACTGTGAGTAATATATGGATTGTATAAAAACTCTTCATCATTATATGTATGCTAATCTAATCCATTTATATCATGATGTCTTTGCTACCATCAGCAAATAAAAAAGGCAATGAAGGTCATTGTTATGCGGTTACTTTTTGCATTTCTTTCTTTCCTCCTACTTCCAGGATGTGTGTAAGTATCTGCCAAGTGAGTCTACATCGTGCAAGAGATGAGGTGTGCTAGAAACCGCAAAAACGTGTATATATAAAAAAATCTTAGTCTCTGCCAACAGATTTTTGTGGCTTTTGTTGCAACAGACTACCAGTAATAAGGCAACCTCTCTGGCCACCCCATCTCATTGTTCTCCCTCCCTTGGTATTGCGTGTAGCCAATGCAATTATTTGGCTATGGACAAAATAAGCAAATTAACCAATGCAATGATTTGGCTTTGGACGAAAGAAGCAAATTCATGACTAAATGTGGAGGAGTAGCTCTTATCAGAAGCACTACCTTGTCTCTTCCCAGTTCTCTGAACTTGGCAGTGAACAAGAGCCAGCTTCTGGTTACAAAAGATGGAGTTAAGAGTCCAAAAAAGACCACTGGCCTACTTTGCAGGAGAGGATCTGTGAAGTTAATGTTGCAAGACAGCAGAAGGGATGTTGGGGCTGAAGGCTTTCCCTTTCGAGTTGAGTTGCAGCAGAAAGAGAGGCTGTTATCCAAGACCTGTTTAGCAGTCTCTGAAGACTTTCCTGGCTGCCAAATTTGGGAGAGTATATACAAGAGAACTGTAGTCAGGAGACTGAGAGGAAACTGGGAGATGAGATCCTCTTTTTTAAAAAAAGTAAAACTAGACAAGTTGGCAAAGTAAAGAGATGTCAAGAGATGGAATAGTAGGAAGCACCCTTTTCCATCTCCTCAGACACTTTGTCTTCAGTGGTTTGTAGTTTGCTTGCTCTTTGGAACTCTAAATCTTCAAGTCTATCCCTTCCTAGATTCTGTATCTTTCATTTACTTCTCAGAGGCCTACCTTAACCTGAGGTTTCTTACCTGTGGGCCTCAGCTATTCCTTTAGTTATTTTGAATGGCCCAATTAGCTATCTTGAGGAGCTTTTGAGTGTAAAAAAAAATCTATATTAGTGTCGCTGAGTGTGAGTGAACAAGTATACAAACTGGCAAGTTTAATTTTTTAATTTCCTGTTGATACTACGTAGTTGATTATGCTGGAGCCCCTGGTGGAGCAGTGGGTTAAAACCCTGTGCCGGCAGGACTGAAGACCGACAGATCGCAGGTTCGAATCCGGGGAGAGGCGGATGAGCTCCCTCTATCAGCTCCAGCTCCTCATGCGGGGACATGAGAGAAGCCTCCCACAAGTATGATAAAACATCAAAAATCATCCGGGTGTCCCCTGGGCAACGTCCTTGCAGACGGCCAATTCTCTCACAACAGGATGCTCCTGACACGACAGAAAAAAAAGTTGATTTTGCTATCTTGATGGACAGTACAGATCTCGCGTGCCCATGTGATATATATTAGCTTTCTGTAGGAAGTGGGAAAGACAAATAGGGAAGACTTAAGGAAGAAACACTTAAAATAACAACCAAATAGATCAAGGCCCAGATAGATCTGTACCACAGCCACTATTTACTATGTGGCTTCTACTATTGTTTTTCTTATTAATGTTGTTGTTGTGTGCATTCAAGTTATTTGTGAGTTATGGCAATTTTAAGGCAAATCTCTCATGGGGTTTTCTTTGCAAGATCTGTTCAAAGAGGTTTGCCATGACCTTCCTCTGCCCAAAGGCACCAGCAGGTTTCCATTGCCAAGTGTGGATTAAAGCACTGATCTCCAGAACCTCAGCCCAGTGCTCAAACCATTGTCCCATGCTGGCTTGTTTCCACTCAGAGGCAGCCCTAGGTAATTTTCA